GGAGGGGTGTGGCGGTTGCATGTGCCGTCTGGTTGGGTGGATGGAGAGCGCTGGCAGGAGGGTGCGGTGGGTTCTGAGTGGTGGGCCGGGGCTGGCCGGGGCCGTGCTGGGCCCATGTTGTTGCGTGCAGGGGGGGGAGAGGCGTTTTCTGGGCGAATGCATGGGCGTGTACTGTGCGGGCTGGCATGTCTTTGGATAGCGTCCAGCCGGCCCAAGCCGGACCCGGTGCACGAAGCATGCCGCGCACGCCGCGCCGCGCCGGGGCCCCGCTCGCCCCGCAGCCGCCCTGCCCATGTGGCACAACGGCGGCGGGCCCGCTCAGCTTCAGAAACGCACCGCCGCGGACGCCCCACGCCCACCGCCCGTCCCGCGGCCGCCCCTGCCCCCGCCCTGCAGGAAGTTTGCGGGCGAGGTCGCGCACAACGTGAGCACCCGCAAGCGCAAGGAGATTGTGGAGCGCGCGGCGCAGCTCAACATCGCCCTCACCAACGGCAGCGCCCGCCTGCGCAGCCAGGAGGACGAGTAGGCGGCGGCTGTTCTCGGCCGCGGCGCGGGCCCGGCGCCCCTGGTCGCGGGGGTGCAGGCGGTACGGCGGCAGCAGCAGCGGGGGGCGCGTCGGGCTGGGTGTAAACGCCGCTCTCCAGTATTGTGGGCGTGTGGGGCTTTATTTTGTGGAAAGCACAGCAGGGGTGACCATGACAGCGGGGGGGGGGAGGGCGGGAGCGGCGTGCCTGAGGGGCACCAGCAGCAGCACCAGCAGCAGCACCAGCAGCAGCACCAGCAGCAGCAGCTGGCTGAAGCAAGAACCCAAGCGTCAGGTCGACGCGGGGGCGGGCGCAACGCCGCTTCGTGGCAGGCGATGGTGCTGCCCTCGACAGCGCACCCGGCGGCGCCGCTGCCTGCTAGTGGCGGGAAGCGGTCAGCAGTGGTGGCTGGGAAGGCGGACCTGCATCGCTGATCTCCTCAGGGTTTTTTTGCTGTGCTATGTCTGGAGGGATTCCCAAATTTGGGGGCCAAAAGGTTGGAGAGCCCTGCCAAAGAGTTGTTGCCAGGGGTGCTTGTCCAGAGCAGCCAGCCACAGGTCCCATCTCAACGGTTACAGGTACTCTTTTGTCCAATGACAGCGGCGCTCAAGGTGGGCAGCTCGGCACCCCATGCTGTTGCCGCCTTTAGTGCTTCAGGCAGGTTACAGTCTGTACCCGTCCTTGCGCCGTGCAATACAGATCAGCAAAACTTGTCACAGTATTAGTTGTTGTAGTGCCGTCAAAAAGAGGCTTGCGCACGGCATCTAAGCAAAAACGTGCCAGGTGGCGCCCCTGGCGCCTGCAAACCACAGCGTGTTCGCCACTCACAGCACCCCGCCCAGCGTCAAAACACACAAAGCCGTCCGCGCACGGCCGCCCGCGTCACTGCTGCTGCCCGTCGCCGCCCGTCGCAGATCCCCGCATTCGCCGCACAAACCCGCTGCCGAAACCGACCTCGAGCGCCGCCGCCGCAAAGCCGAACACGAGCATGCACTGGGCCGCGTACAGCGCCGCCGGCCCGACCACGTCGAGCGACAGCAGTGCGTCGCCGCCGCCGCCGCCGGCCGCAGTGCGCTGCAGGAGGTCAAACCCGCCGGCGGCGCGCACGAGCGCAAAGGCCGCGATGGCGCCGCCGCGCAGCTGCGTGTTAGCTGCGTCCTCGCGGACGGCGTACCTGCGGGCGGGCGGCGGGGGGCCGCGTAAGACACGTCAGGTGAGCATGGCGAGGGCGCGGTTTGGGGGTCGAGCGAGCCGACAGTGCATGATGAGAGCAGGCGGCACCAAAATTGGGTGTAGATGGGGCTGCCAGGCGGGTGGTCCGCTATTCGTGCGAGCCTTCAGAACAGCCTCAGCTCAGTGCCACGGGGCGACAGGCAGCGGCGGCCTTCGCCCAAAAGCAGGCTTCACCCATTCCATCACATGCGCCAACCCATGCTGGCATGAAGAGCACACACACACACACACTGCACACACACATACACACACACCCTGCGCACCTGTAAGTGACCCCGAACAGCGCGCAGCACGCTGCCGCGTCTGCCAGAGACAGCAGCTCCCCGGCCCCCCCCGCCGCCAGCGCCAGCGGCGCCGCCGCCGCGAGCCCGCCCACCACCGCGACCGCCGCCGCCTTGCCGCTCTCCGCCCGGTCAGCGTCCGAGAACGCCGCGGCGCCCAGGCGTGACCGCTCGCCTTCCGCGATCTCGTACTCGATCTGGGCGGCCCTGAGCAGCTTCTCGGCAGCTGCCACCTCTGCGTCGGCCAACAGCTGGTTGGCCTTGGTCTTAGCGTCCTCTTGGGCGGCCGCATCTTCCAGCACCGCTGCTTTTGCTGCCTCCTGCGATTGCCATAGGCCGGCACGCGCGGTCGCCGGCGCCGTTTGCTCCTCCACCGAAAGCCGGTGGCCCCGGCAGCAAACAGACGAAGGAGGGGCGCCACGGCACGCACATGCAGCCGCGGCGTGTGGCGAGCAGCGCTGCAGTCATGAATTGCGAGCGCATCCGTGAGAAGCAATTTTCAGTGTCAAGTTCTCACCGAAAAGATCTTTTCGAGCTCCTTCTCTGCAGCCTTGGCTTTTTCCAGACGCACCACGGCCGCCTCGTACCTGGGTATGCGCGGTTTCCAAGGGTTGGCGGTTTCCAAAGGTGGAGCAAATCGGCCAGCTGAGCAGCAGTGCGAAGGGGAGGCGGCTGCGCACGCACAGCTATTCGTGGTTGTTCGGCTTGAGACGAGGCAAGCCGTGCAAACGGGCGCAGGTCTGGCTGCATGTGCGAGCGCGCGCACGCGCGGGCGCCGCACCTCCTCAGCTGCGCCGCCGCCTCGGGGTCGTTCTGCAGCGCCTGCTTGGCGAGGGCCGCCAGCCCCTCCTCAAAGGCACGCGCCTGAGCCTGAGGGTTGAAGGGAGGTGGGGCGGGGAGGTGGGGGCGCTTCTTGGCGGCTGCCATGGTGAGGGGCCCGGTTGACCTGGGAACGTCCCTGTGCTCCCTGTCAAGCATACAATGCATCATGCACGCATGTCCGTCTGATGCCACAGTGCAGAGTCGTGCGGAATATGGCGCGCCGCTGCATCCCAGCTCAGGTGCCTTGCACGGCCGCCGCAGCTGAGCGCGCGCGGAGAATGCGCACCGAATCGACCTCTTGCCCATTGTTGCTGGAGCCTGAACGGATGATACGGCACCTTGAAAAGGTCCCTGCGCATCAAGAAAGGCCACATAAGCGCCCAGCTCGGCGGAGTGCCAGACCGGACACCCGATCACAAGCGCACCGGCCACAACAGGGCGGCAGCTTGCGGGTTGAGCCAGACGCTTTTGTACAGACAAGTTCATGGCGCCGTGCTGGGTGGTTGTGCTCCTTATGTGTTTCAACGAGCACAGCGGGCCTCAGAAGCACGAGACGATTGTGGCCAATTCAAATCAGGACACATGTACAGCAGCAACGCAATGAGCACACGAACAGAACGCCTTTCGGGGTTACAACAGGGCGAGCCATGCTTGGGCCCCTTGCGTTTGTGTATTGTGAAAAGTCAGAGTAACTCCTCAATATATATGCGATACCTACGCTCTGAGTCATATTGAACACCAGCCTTTGACCTTGCAGTCGGAGGAGGCCTGCGCGCCTACGATCTTTTCCAATGAAGGACGCTGGTGGGGATTTAGATGAATCTGAAGCATTTTTAGGAGCTGCACCCAACGGCGTCGACGTGCAGGTGCGCGTGCCGCCTTGCCGCACTCGCAGACAGCGCCGAAAACAGAGCAGGTCGCAGACGAAAAACAGAACAGGTCCTGGGTATGTGACATGCGATACGCTGTCTGTATTGAAGGCAGCAGACTCAGCATGGACTACTCACCCGCACCGCAGGCCAGCGCGACAGCCGATGCGCCCCAAAGCGGCGGCAGCGAGCCAGGCTCGCTTGACCACGGGGCCCCGCCTGCCGCCGCATTGGCGGCGCCGCCGGCGGGATCCTCAACCGCCGCCAAGCGCGTCGTGAAAAAGGTGGTGAAGAAGACCGTGGTCAGGCGGGTCCTGAAAAAGCGTGAGACGGGCGAGTCGACGGACGGCTCCCCGCCCCCGCCGCCGGCGATGGTCGGCGCAGCCCCGCCCGTGCCCGCGGCGGCGGCAGCCACGGCGGCGGTTGGCAGCACGGACCCGGACGGTCGGCAGGAGGGGGAGGTGGAGGATCAGGAGGAGATCCAAAAGATCATTAGCGAGATCCACGGGGAGCCCGGTGAGTCATCAAGGGGGGTGAAGATCAAACCGACCCGTTGGTCGGGGCCTTTGCCGTTGTGCATGAGGAGCTCATGAACAAACATGATGATGATTGAACCATCAAGCCGTCTGCGAAGAATGGTACCGAGGCAGCTGGTGGGAATTTGCAAGGGGCCACCTTGTCGACACCAGCATTGGCTGCCGAAACGGCGCCGCCGCCCGCGCGCGCCGCGCCGCGCCCTCGGGAACGCACCCCAGACAGAGCCTGCACCGCCCGCGCCCTCGGGTTTCAACGCCCCAACAGGCGAGGAGTCTTCCAGCGAGGACCTGCCGGCCAGCGCCCGCGGCCCCGCTCCGCGCGCGGCCGCGCCGCCGGCACTGCCCTCGGGCCCAAGCCTTGGCCCCGCCGCCGCGCACGCGCGCGCCGCGGCGGCGCCCGGGGGGCGCGGCGGCCGCGGCGGAGGCGACGCCAGGAGCGGCGGCAGCCATCGCTTCACCGGCGACGCGGATGCGCTGTCACTTTATGATGACGAGG